GGGGGGGGGGGCGTGCGTTCCAGGGCTCTCCTAGCTCCCAGAGGTTGCTGGCAACCCTTGGTGTTCCTCGGCCTGCAGATGTATCACCCCAATTTCCACCTCCGTCTTCACATGGCCTTCTCTGTGTCTCTCTGTGTCCTCCTCTTATAAGGACACCAGTCACTGAATTTAGGGCCCACCCTAAATCCAGTATGGTATCATCTCAAGGTCCTTAATCGTTACATCTGCAAAGACCCTATTTCCAAATAAGGTCACATTCTGAGGTTCCAAGTGGATATTAATTTTGAGGGGGAATTATGCAACCCAGTACAGTAGGTGATGTCAGTGAAATTGTGTCATAGCTGTAACATGCAGTACAGAAATGAGGTGTGGCTGGGGGAGAATAGGGAAGATGGGAAGGGACAGGATCGTGCCTGGGGGGGCTGGGCCCTGACGCCTCACTCCACGCAGGACTACCTCTTGAAGATCATTGACACACCTGGGCCGCTGAACCCGGAGCAAGTCAGTGCCCTTTTTGGAAACATAGAAAGCATCTACGCACTGAACAGGTATGGAGCGGGCCTGACACACACCATGTTCAGCCTGTGAAGCCCATCTCAGGGTTTAGGGAGGAGCCCTGGATGTCCCTGGCCTCGTGGGCTGTGACACGTGGGCCAGGGTCTGATCTCTGAGGGTGGGGAAGGGTGGTCCATCCCTGTACAGTGGTATAGTTAGCTCCCTGCAGGAGAGGGGGCCTGTGGGACCGTGTGCCCTGGGGCTGATGTGCTTCCTGTCAGGCAGGGGAGCTCATTTGAGGCCATGTTCATGTTGGGTCCCGCCTGGGCCAGCGCCCCTCAGGGAACTTCTGAACCCTTGCACGTGATGCGCTCTCCCCTGTCCCTTCGTGGCCCCTTTGTCCCTCTCATCTTGGTCCCCCAGTGCAGATCTCTTCGTTTCTCCTCCACCTTCCCACTGATTCCGTGGGAAGTCGGGGCTCCCTGGAGGTGATCTGGCCCATTAGGGGAACACACAAGCCAGGCAAAGCGTGATGAGGGAGGCCGAGCGAGGCCTGGCGAGGGGCTGCTTCAGGGCAAAGGGGCTCCACGAAGATCACACATGAGTAGCTCCCGGGGCCCCCAGACTCCCCAGAGAGAGGGCACTGGTCCGGAGGAGCAGAGCTTGTGGGGACAGCATTGATAGGACAGGAGGAACCTTACCCCAGGCGCCTTAAGATGGGCAGAGGGACTTCCTGCTGGTCAAGCTGGGAGGGCAGACGGAGGCGAGACTTACGCG